AGATAAATCAATCTCGCCACGCGAGAACTGAAAATCTTTACATAGTAATATTGAATCGTATTAATTTGCGCATACCGCAGCCTCACATATACTGAAAAATATGGATCGCAACATGGAGCCGTGCGATGACTTTTACAAGTTCGCCTGCGGCGGCTTCCTCGATTCTACCGTCATTCCCGATGACAAAACCAGCGTAAATGCGTTCTCCGTCATCGTCGATACCCTCTTGGAACAACTACGGACTAGCATCGAGGAGAAGAGTCCTCCAAACGAACCGAGACCATTTAGACTTGCCAAAGACTTCTACAAGGCTTGCATGAACCAAAGTAAGCAGTCGCGATATGACTTTTTTTTTACATAAATCAATAGACTTATAACGCACTTGTCTAATAAAATTCAAACTCGCGTATTTTCAAAAATAAGCGATGGTAAAATTATATTACGAGTTTTTTAATATTTATGTAATCGATAGCTATTAGTTAAGTTAAAAAAAAAGTTTTATTTCTCTTTTTTTTCTTTTTTTTGAAATTTATTTGTTCTTCCAGCCGCTATCGAGGAGCGAGGCTTGCAACCATTGTTGAACAATCTCAGAAAACTCGGTGGCTGGCCAGTTCTAGACGCCGAGCGATGGAATGACGGTGACTTTACTTGGAAAGATACCGTCTACAAATTCCGCAGATTGGGCTATTCCGTCGACTACTTCATCGATTTCGGCGTCAGTGTCGACTTGAAGAATAACTCGAGGCGCCTGATCGACGTAAGCACGTAACAATTTATAGCGAAAGGCGAGACTTAGAACAGCGTGAAACGCGAAGACCACAATTGTTCCAAGTTAAATATATAAAATTTGTAGCAACAAATCCGTGATCAATGCAAATTAATTATTTTCAGCTTGATCAAGCAGCTCTTGGTCTGTCGCGCGAATATTTGTCGAAAGGTTTCGACGAGAAAATCGTTCAGGCATATTATAAGTACATGGTGGACATTGCTGTGATCCTTGGAGCTGATCCGGATCGAGCCCGCAAAGAATTGAAAGAGTCACTTGAATTTGAAATCAAACTCGCGAATGTAAGTCACCTTCCAAGAATTAAAAACTTATAAATACAGCCCCTTGATACAAAAATAAAACAAGATTGAGTAAATTCTTAAATTGCAATTCTTTTATTTGAATAAAATGAAAGATCCTTCGAAAATGCAAAATCTTCTGAATTAATTATTTTATGTACTAATTAGTATAAACGTAAATTGAGACTAATGTTGCGATATTAATCGATTAAATATATACTATACGCAGATCTCGCTACCTAATGAAAAGCGACGCAATGTAACTCTTCTCTACAACCCCATGACTGTGAACGAGCTGTCTTCGGCTTACCCTAGCATACCATGGTGGGAATACTTTAATACAATCCTCGCGCCGCAAGCGCAACTAAGTCGGGACGAAATAGTTATCGTGAACGTGCCCAGTTATCTAAAAGACTTTGAACAACTGATCAGCAAGACCCCGAAGAGGGTGCAGGCGAATTATGTGTTTTGGAGGGCGGCCGCCGCGTCTGTCAGCTATTTAACGGACGATATCCGAAAAAGGCAGCTGAAATATACGCTAGAATTAAATGGCAAGACGGAAAGGGAACCGAGGTGGAAAGAGTGCGTGGAAATTGTTTCTGGCAGTATGGCGATCAGCGTCGGTTCGATGTACGTGAGAAAATACTTTAAGGAGGATGCGAAAAAGACCGCTCTCGAAATGGTCAGCGATATTAGAGAGGAATTCACGAAGATCCTGAAGAAGGTGAGAAAATAAAAAAGCGGAAGATTAAATTTTTGCGAAATCGCAACTGCGGGAGATTGAAATCTTGGGATTGATACTTTTTTGACCTCCATTTATCTAGAAATTAAAATCTGGAAAATGAAAAAGTCTTTCTTTTAATTTTCTTTTATCTGTAAATTGAAATTGTGGAAACACACACACACATAAGAACCTTGGCACGCACCTATTTATCAACGAATTAAAATATAGAGAAGGACTATTTTTATTTATATTTTTTACTATTTAAGAAAAAAGAAACAATTCGTCAGAAATATTTTTACTTTGTAATTTTAATCCCTTTAGTAAATTGTTGATGAAATTGCGCGCATTATTAGGTGGAATGGATGGATGAGAAAACCAGAGCAAACGCCTTAGAAAAAGCAGCTGACATGACATCACATATTGCTTATCCAGATGAGCTGCTGGATAATAGAAAGCTTGATGAGTTTTACGAGGGACTCGAATTAAATTCCAGCGATTATTTAGGAAGCATTTTAAATCTGACTATCTTCGGAACGAATTTCTCATTCGGTAGATTGAGAAAGCCGGTGAACAAAACGGAATGGATTACTCATGGAAGGCCGGCTGTTGTTAATGCATTCTATTCCTCAATCGAGAATAGTATTCGTAAGTATCTAAATATAAGCAATTTTACGCGCAAATTCATATTAATAAATAAATACCAAATATGTGCATATCTCTTTAATAATAATGTATATAAATTTAGGAAGGATTTTTACAACGAAAATAAAAAAAAAAATTAATTTAAACAACAATTGAAGAAGTATATTTACTTTTGATCTTGTCAATAACAAAGCCAATAATTTTTTCAAAATCTCATTTCAATAAGATCAAATTTTTAATTTTGGACTCTTCCAAAAATACAATCTTTTTTATTAAATTTTATATTTATATTCTTGAATAAAAAATAAAAAATTTCCATTACATGCAAAACATTATATGAAACTATTCAATTAAAATATAAAAATACTTTTTATTTAAAAACCTAGCAGAAAAATTTATATATTTTAAATCATTATTTTTTTCAGATCAGATCATTAGTGTGTTTTAATCTGAAGAAAAAAAATGTTTATAAAATTACGTGCAAATTAATATTGCAATCATTATTTTATTGCCGAGTGTCAAATAATTCTCTCGCAATTTTTTTTTCTTAGAATTCCCCGCAGGTATCTTACAAGGCACATTCTTCAGTAATGATCGACCGCGTTACATGAACTACGGCGCTATCGGCTTTGTCATTGGCCATGAGATTACCCACGGCTTCGACGATCAAGGCAGACAGTTCAATAAGGAAGGTAATCTCGTAGATTGGTGGGAGTCGGAGACAAAGGAGCACTATCTTAAAAGAGCCGAATGTATAATTTATCAGTATGGAAATTATACTGTGAAAGACGTCGGAATGAACGTAAGGCGAATATTACATGTTCACATTTCTACATTTATATCCTTAATTATATTTTTCTTGCAAAATTCTATATTTTTTCTATGTATATTTCTGTATATTCTCTATTCTATATTTTTGATGCAGAGATATAATTGTCCGCGAAGAGATATCGATAAAGTATGAAAGAGATTCATATTTGTGTTATATAAATTCTTCTGCACGTCGTTTTTGTTTCTTTAATGAAACATTCTCTGATGATACTGGATGCAATTGTCATAACATCCTATATTATTTTATTGGCTGCTATTTCCGCCGCACTTGCTATATAAACAAATGCTATCGTCGCAAGAATAATTACAATTCGAGTTAATCTTTATTTATTGCATGTCGTAATACACCGTGTAAATGTTGCTAATAGAAAATTTATGTGCGGTAAAAGCGACGGTGATCAATAAACTTTTTCATCCGAATCATTTTCAAGTAAAATATTTAATACTCATATAAAATAACTTTTTCTATATGCACAGAATTGAAAAAAATAATTATCTAAAGAAACATATAGTGAGTCATAAAAAATATAGTGTCTCTGTCATATTTTTGTCGCAATTCTACACAACTTAATTATCAGTACGATCGATCAATTATTCATTTCATTCATCATTATAAATAAAACATGACAAATGTAAAGACGTTTCTATGATTTTTTATATATACGCGAGAATAAATTAAATTAACACTTTTAAATTAACACTTTTAAAAAACTCATACTCTTAAATGCAATTATAAAAATATTTTATATTGTAATATTACCTAGAAAAAAAACTTGATTATATAATCCCATTTCAAAACCTATTTTATACTTTTGCAGTTAAACGGAATAAATACCCAAGGTGAGAACATTGCCGATAACGGCGGTATAAAAGAGGCGTATTACGCGTACAAGGAATGGGTAAAACGAAACAGACCGGAACAAAGATTACCAGGTCTGCCTTACAGCCCGGAACAGATGTTTTGGATAAGTGCCGCTAACAGTTGGTGCAGCAAATACCGTCCGGAAGCGATGAAGCTGCGTATCACGACGGGATTCCACAGCCCCGGCGAGTTCCGCGTACGGGGACCATTGTCAAACATGGAGGAATTCTCGCGCGACTTTAATTGTCCGGTCGGCTCTAAAATGAATCCCGAAAAGAAGTGCGCCGTATGGTAGATCTCACAGATGTCGGCAAAAAATGATTGGCTACGTTGTAACATGCAAAAATCTAACAAGGCGCTCTCCACGATAAAATCCATGGAGATTGATGCAACCTGCGTTTTCAAATGCGCAGGATAGATATTATAAATCGTTTTTGGTAAACAATTTTTATAATAAGTAAGAAATACGTGTCATGATGCGCGTATGTAAATAGAGAGAAAATGGAATATATAATGATGGATTTAAGAGTTAATTAGTTCTACTTGTATGAAGCTATATTCGTCTAACTGTCCTTGATGTATAAGGCATAGAATTTCTGTGTTACAACGTTAATGTCAAAAATTTTCAATTGTTCCATATAATGGAGTAACTCGCACAGCATTAAGCTAAATTGTCAAACATATTTCATTCTTTTATTTTTTTGTTGAGAATTTTTATAGTTTGTATATCGTAAAAAAATGTTGGCAGCTCCATTAAGAAAACGCTTTTTATCCGTTTTTTATCGTTGGCAAACTTTGTTAAGCCTTGCTTCCTAGATGAAATTTTAAAGTATTCTGTTAACACAAAGATGAATAGTAATAGTATACATTATATAGAATATGATCCGTAAAATCAATATTGGGAAAGATTTAAGAATATTTTTTGATAAATTTGTTATACATTTTTTATGAGAATTTTAACAGGACACAGATAATTTTTCATAACTATTTTACGTTGAGTATTATTTAGTAGTATTATCGAGTATAGCAATTATATAGAAACTGCAAATTAGTAAATATGCGTTTGCGAAAAAGAGCGCTTTTTCCCAAGAAATAATGCGATATGCGCGATTTCTGGTATGTTAAAGTTCTAGTTACATTATAGTTTCTGACTCAAATACATAGCACATCGAATATTTCTTCTCTGAGATTTTGCGGATGAAAGAGTGCCAAAACAATCATTTCTTAAATCTTTGACGGTATTTTTCGCAAGAATTAGATGTGCTAGTCAAATTAGAAAGCAAATAAAATTATAGAAAATGGATTCTTTTTTAATCAATACATTCGTGAATTTATAAGAAATATTTTACTAAGTTAAATATATAAATCACACTTCCTATCAGTGAGTAAATATCCAATGAGCTCTGTTTTTCCTTAAAAAAATTCATTTTTTTTAGAAAACGCTCAATAGAGGAAAGACACCAAAAAAGACACCGACGTACTATTTTTGGTCTCTAGTTCTCAGCCGAAAGTTTAAAATAAAAATTTATATTTACAAATATTTACTAAAGATGAATTTTTTCAGATTTCTTACAATTTTTTAAATATTATTTAAAATTTTTAGCAAATAATTCTTTTTAGGAACAAATGGAAATTAAAGTCTGAAAAATTGATTTCCAAAATTAATATAGTTTATAAAAATGATAAAAATATGATAAAAATTATGCAAATAAAACATAAATAATAAACATGTAAAATGATGCAATATTACGAAAAAAGTAATTTGCTATTATCGCTTTTTAAATTATAAAATTCGTTAAAAAATACAGGTAAAAATCTTTAAACTTCAAAAATGGTTGAAAGAGCCAAATTAGTATAAATATATAAATTTACAGACTATAGGCTTCTGATGATTAGTAAATTAAATAAACGGATCAAGCCTATATTAGCTCTAGGATAAAGGAGCAGCATTTAATTGCTGAGAAATATGTCGTCTCAGGAGATCTGTATCAATTGGTATCTTTCCTCTATCTAAACAAGAAAATCCAGAAAAAAAATTTTTTATTAGAAATAAATTGAAATCTTTAAGAGATTAAATGCGCTTTAGCGCTATTCGACCTCTTAAATAAGTTTTATTATAGATAGCATATGTCACATCTTTAATAATAAAGTAAGTAAGCTACTTTAGATAAAATGTGGATCTCAACATATTACAAACAACAAATTAATTTTCCAAAACAAATTAAGCATAATTAAAAATTAAGATCAAATTTTTTCTCTCTTTTGTTTTTAAAATATAATTTGCGAAGATATTTTACGTTACAACGCAAAATAACAAAATTTATATAATGTCATTTTTAAATTATTAAACACACAAATATTGCCACTATTGATCCCTGATTTTCTACTAGCCACATTTGTATATCACATATATTTGTATGTTGTATCGGCGTTGTAATTAAATTTCGATAATTTAATGCGAAAAGTTTTACTGTTTGTTTAGACACATTTGAGTAACCATTAATCGTAGAATTACCGTTTCAAAGTACTTAGAGCAACCTATAAATAAGTATTAATCGTAGATATGTAACTGCAATCGTTGAAATTTGCAATCGCGATTGCTTTTCAGCATATTACTTTTTGCATCCATATGCATTGCATATAGTATTTTTATTTGCGTTACATCCTGTCTGTCTTAGATACATTTCCCAATTTCAGATATTTATAACGATGGTTATTTAAGTCATCGAGTACAATAAGTATAAGTAAAAGAAATATGACATATATCTTATCAGATATTTATTGAATATATGTAAAAGTTTAATACAAAAATATTTTGTGTAAATATCAAACTGTATTTTACGCACTTTTCAAAAAAATATCCGTATTATTTTTTCCGGAATATACTGTTAGTGAAATTTTACGTAAGCAATTTTTCAGTTGTCTACGCACAATGCAAAGATAAAAATATAAACAAACACTTAACGCTATCACTTACCTTAACTGATATATTGAAATAACCATCCGATCCAATAGTCCTGTCTGAGTCTACGATGCATATTGGACAACGAGATAATAATGTACGATACTTCGATCATTCAATCCTTTCGTACTTTGCACTTTTCAACGAAGATGACTTGCTACTGTCCAACTTACGATGACACAAATTACACTATAATTGCGAAGATTCTCAAAAATGTCGCACGCTTCTAGTTAACCGATCATTGAATTCGACACTACTTTTATATTTTTAAACGTAACAGATGCGGCGGCAATTTCGCGCCGATGTCCGAATTTTTACAGAACGGATTATAGAAGGCGTCAATAATACTCTCACTTTTAAATGCGACATTTTTCGCTCGGACATATCGTATCTAGATATTTACACATCGTGACTGTTGGTTCGAAGAGAATTAGCAATGTTCAGAACAAACAGAAAATAAAAACAATTATTATATTACATTCCTTCTATTTTCCTATTTAGTCTTAATTAGTCATACTTGTCTAACTATTCGTTACTAAATTGCTAATTCATCTGAGAACCGACAATGATGCGCGAATATGAACACGATGCGACCGATTCGAAAAGTGAAAGGCATTATTAATGTCTACTATATATTATAAATATAATACTAAATATATATATTGTCTTTAAAAAATTGCTCACCATCGCATTTATTGTCGCACTGTCCTTCAAAACTATATTCGATACTCCGATTATCGCTTTACACGCCGTAAACGGATTTTTAAATGGGTAATAAAAAACGCGGCGACAACTTTGCGTTAATCTATGAATTGCCACGAAACCTGTAAAAAGAGCAGAATTCATTATAATAATACCTTGTAGTGACAGATTAAATATATATTTTTAGTATTACCGATATAATATTACCGACGACGAGATATCTCACTGAGAATATACCTTTTTATAAGCGTGACGTGTGATTTTATGATGTGCATTGCGTGGAACACGGAGAAACGCAAATCATTTGAACGACGCAATGTTAAAGATGATAACCGCGCATGCGCGGCCTGCATGTGCACACTTTGCTCCGCGCGCATTGAGATATTATTGGAAACTCGTAAATAAATTTTCTCTCTCATATCGATATACGATTATTCTCAAAATTACCAATATCACACGATGACACTTTATTGAATGTATCACTGGATACGTACCTTTTTATAAGTGTAACGCCTTTTTGATGCAAAACGCAGAGAGAAGTGCGAACGACAGGTTCAAGCGGCGCAAGGCGCAACGCTAAAGATGACGGCCGCGCATGCGCGATATCAATCCTGTGCAACCAGAGAGAAGCCTCTCGGATGCAAATTCCTTAGTGGAGATTCGAACCCTGTTTTTAGCGGAGATTCGAACCCTAGTTTTATATATACGAACCACGTATTGTTCTAATATACGAGGTCTGTTCTTTATAGCTGAACTGGCTGCACTTGTTCAGAGTTTATCTTTTTCTCTCCACATTATAAGAAGAAAGATAAGCTCTGAACTAGTGCAGCCAATTCAGCTATATATAACGAACAGACTCAATGTTAATGTGACGCATGCGCGCGCGGCTCGGATTGCATCTGTCATCATGGCGCAACAGAGCGCGCGTGAAGCGATATTTATGCGGGGCGTATACGGACGTGTAGTCGCGCAAAATTAACGTGTTTTGGCTTCGCCCGAGAGCGAAACGGGGAGACTGTGTTGTGCCAGCATGGACAAGCAGCCGTACAAACTGAGCAGCGTGCTGCTAGGTCATACCGGGGATGTAAGAGCGGTGGCAACCTTCGCTGACGGTACCGTCGTGTCGGTTTCCCGGGACAAGACCGCGCGCGTATGGAAACCGACCGGGTTGGTATTCTCGGAGTAAGCTCGTATAGAGCCTCCCTCATATACGAGAATTCGTAACATCGTTGAGAGTTTCTCAACCTATTGGCTTCAATTTTCTTAATCTCATCATGTAGCTACGAGAGAGATACGTTTCCTTCTCTGTATATGCAAGGTTACATCTAAATATTGCTAATTTTCTTTCGAAATGGACGTTATTTAGATTTATTTTGAGTCTGTAATCATTGTATAATAAAAGTTGGCTTTAAACAAAATCAGTTTTATACTTGTCGATAAGATATAATGCATATCACTCTCGTAGAGTGTGATCCACAACTGATATTAGAAATTATTTTTTATTAATATGTTTGAACTGTGTATAGATTACTGTCAGATAATAGAACTGTTACAAATATAACTAAATACTATATTAAATATATGACATCAGAATTTTACAGGAAGGATAATGAATATGAACAGAGCGCAATATTGACAGGTCACTCTAATTTTGTCAGTTCAGTTTGCGTTATAAACCCATCAGAAAGTAATCCCAAAGGTTATATCATTACCGGCAGTAATGACAGTACCATATGTGTCTATATGGCGGATCAAACAGTACCTGTGCATACATTAATGGCACATCAGAATACCGTGTGTAATTTAAGGACTGGGAAGAAGGACAATACGTTTCTTTCGAGTTCTTGGGATCTCACTGCTAAGTTATGGGATATAGGAAATTTAAATAAACCGCAATTGGATCTCACAGGTCATACTGCCGCGGTATGGTGCGTGGCAGACTTATCGAGTGGCAATATAGTGACTGGATCAGCCGATAAGTTGGTAATAGTGTGGGCAAGAGATGGTTCGATACAACATAAATTAACAGGACATACAGACTGCATTCGTGACATAGTTGATATAAAAGAGGACGAGTTCCTAACTTGCGCCAATGATGCTACTATAAGGCACTGGAACGCAAAACTTGGAACCTGTTTAGGCACTTATTGCGGGCACGAGAATTATATTTATAGCATAGCAGCCATTCCGAATGGCACATATGTTTATTCATCTGGAGAAGACAGAACTATCAGAGTATGGTACAATGCAGAATTGAGTCAAACCATTGTTCTGCCGACGCAATCGATATGGTGTATTGAATTGTTCTCAAACGGTGACATAGTCGCCGGAAGTTCCGACGGTGCCGTTAGGATATTCTCGTCCGATCCCGAACGATACGCGAATTCGGAGACACTGCAAGCGTTTGAGAAGGAAGTGGCAAATACCACTCTGAATGCAGAGCAAGTAATTGGAGACATCAACATAAAAGAGTTAGTCTTTTTTTTTTTAAAGATAAAGTAAGAATTTTTCTACTCATACATTGTTACATTAATTTTAATTTTGTGAATAGTTTACCAGACTCAAAAGTTCTTCTACAACCTGGCCAACGAGATGGTCAAACAAAGATTGTAAATGAAGGGGATGCAGTTAGAGCGTATAGTTGGTCGCAAAGTGAACAACGGTGGATAAAAATTGGCGATGTGATGGGAGCATCCGGCAGTACCGCGGCTACATCCGGAAAACAACTCTATAATGGCATAGAATATGATTATGTTTTTTCGGTTGATATACAAGATGGCGTGCCACCTTTGAAACTTCCATATAACAAAGGTGAAGATCCCTGGCATGTTGCACAAAAGTTCCTTCATGACAATAATCTCAGTCAATTATTTTTAGATCAGGTATGTATCTTGGAGAGTATTATTTTAATTTATTATACAATATTGTTTATATAATGAATGATAAATGTAATCTCTTTTGGCGCGTCTCTTGTTATTGCTTTATTTAAAAGATAATTGGAAAATCGTAAATCTGAATAGAAAGTGCGAGGTGAAATTATTTGTATACTTCGCTTCAGGTTGCAAATTTTATAGTAAAGAATTCTGAGCCAGCTCCAGTTTTGTCTACTGGATCTCAATATGTAGATCCTTTTACAGGAGGAAACAGATATGTTCCTGGATCAGGAACATCGTCCAGTACGCCCGATGTTACTGTGCAATCTTCGATGTTTAGTTCTTCCAATACGTCTGCATCACCTTCCTATATACCTCACTTGAAGTATTTAAAGTTAGAACAAGCAAATATGTCTGCCATTTTCGGTAATTAAGTTTAAGATAATTAGACATAACATAGAATATACAATTGTATCTCATTCTGTGTTTGTATTGTAGAAAAATTAAACGAATTAAACGTTAAACAAGAAAGTATGTATAAAATACCAGAGGAGAAACTAGACGCGATAGGAAAACTCGTAGGCGGTCAAGTGTCCGAAGAAGTTAAGGCCAGTGCTATCAGTGCACTAAAGAATCTTCTAGATTGGCCGAACGATACAGTGTTCCCAGCGCTAGATATAGCGAGACTTGCTGTGCTTCACAAGGAAATAAACAATCAATTGTGTACAGAGGAACTGTTGCCAGTCATAGAAAGGCATATCAAACCTGATGCAACTCCGTCGAATCAAATGCTCACCTTTCGACTAATAGCCAATATGTTCCAACACGAAAAGGGAGAGAAACTTTGTCTCGATCATCGGGATGAGATATTGAAGTCTCTGCTGAATCTGCAATCTTTTGGAAATAAAAATAATCAAGTACGTCATGTTAAGCAAGTATTAAAATAATTATCGAAAACAAAAAAACGCTTATAAAAGTCTAAATTGCATGATTAATTGATAATTATTCAAATAATCATAAATGTAATTCATTGCTCTTTCATACAAACTAATCTCTTACGATATAAGATTCAAATAGCGTAAGAGCTGTAAAATAAAATATTTTTTAGGTCGCAATATCGACGTACATCTTAAATCTGATTGTAGCATTAAATAAGTATAATGATATGCCTGCTAGAACGAGAGCGCTAAATGTATTATTTGCCATGTTACCCCGTTTGAATGAGCCTGAAGCAATATTCAGAGCTTTAGTTGGACTGGGAACGCTATTAGCTGCTACACCAGATCCTAGTGATCGTAACGAACTAATTAGCGCTGTGCGACAATCAGAAACTGCTTTGAACGTTCTTAGAACTCTGTCGGAAAGCGGGACCGATATCAGTACGACAAACAAATTGGTAAACTGTTCCAAGCAAATTATCGATTTGATTATTTAATACGCTTACGAATGGTTGGAACACGCTATTTATACAACTGTTACGAAAATAAGCTTTATTAAACGGAGGAAGAGATTGAAAAGATTATATAATAATTAATGCAAATGATTACTACAAAATAAAAAAAAAAATTTAAGATGCACCAATATATAGCTTTGGTAAACGCAATTGAAAGTGCGAAGTAAAAGTAAGTTTGTGCACATATATGCATGTTTTGTAGTTTGGTTATTCAATCCATAAAATATAGTAAGCAAAAATAAAAATACATTTTTTCATATGACTAACACACATTTCATTATTTAAATATGTACTGTGCCCTTCCATGTAATTGCAGAATGTACTTAAAAAAGATGCGTTTATTGATTTATAATAATTAACACGAGACCATTATATTTCACGTTCGTTTTGAAAAAATATAAAAATGTATTTAAATATATAATATTATACGCGATTTTTAAGATTGCTCTACATATATTTCTAAACGTCTTTTTAGAAAATCTATGGCAATTTATTGGCTAAACTTATGCAATTAAATTTGTAAATGATATATTAACAACTTATTTATATTTAATTTGATATTGTTACAATTGATCAAGATAAAACAACATTTTTTGCAGATATTGTTCAATGTACATGTTGACTGTTCTGAGATACGGATTGTGTTTAATGCTCTTTCATATACTTTTTAATTTTATTCCATCTATAAAATAAGCATAAATATTTTTTAATAAACAAAAACATCAAAATATTATCAGTAACAAAATCAAAAGAAAACAATTACATATTCCAGATTTTATAATTGATTTTACATTGGAAATACAAAATTATGAATTAATTAACATGGTTGCAATATACGAATAAAAATTAAAACTGTTACACATGGAAATAATGGAAACTAAATTAATTATTAATATTACCATATGGCAGATACAATGTGCGTGTAACGCATATATTTCGTTTTACATTATCAAATAAACTCGGAAAATAAGAGACGAAAGTTACATGCGTGGAATGTAAATGACCTACTTAAATGACAATTGATTATTTGCAGTTCAGGTAAGATAAGTTGTATTTCTATAATGAAAATTAGTTAAAATATATATACAACGACGAATATAAAATAATAATTTATATATATAATATACATAATATTTGATTAAATTTTTCGGGCATATCGCGCGCCCAGTAAACATACAACAGACAACAGTGTAATAGTAGAATATGGTTATTACATTAACGTCAAATATATATTTCCTTAATTGTATATCAATTTACTCCCGCAGTAGCCAAGAGTTATTAATTACCGTAACTCTTGCAGTTAATTATTACACGAAAAAAATAACATTCACTTGTATACACTCATATTAACTTCAATTATGCTCAATGAACAGTACATGTAGTACATGAAAAGGTAGTTATAGTGTCACAGGCCATTCTGGCTCGTTATGGGAATGTGAATGCATTTCTTCTCTTTTCGTTTTCTTTACAAAAATAACTTTCAATATATATCTGAGATCTGTGAGATAATAGAAACAGTGCTGATTCTCGTACAATTCAGAATCCAGTATAGCGCACGAGTTGTTACGCAATGTACAGCTGGATGCGTTTACATATGAATACACAGGCCCAAAAATGTGTTTTCGTGTAGAAAAGTATCTATATAAAAAATCCGAAGAGGGCTAATGTTGCTCTGATGCCAGCAGAAATATAATGTGCAGGAACCATTATCTTTCAGATTTCTATGTATATAGTAATGACGACGGATTCTGATTGACAACAAAATTGATTATCGATTATTTGAAGGCGTTACTTTAATCTTTAATAGTAAAACTTGATTTCGGAGGTAAAAAGAAAAGAGTGAATTAACCATTGAAACTAAATTACTAATGATAGACGAGTTAAAAAATATTTTGACACAAATAGATTTTGAAAAAATCAACTTTTTTTGGTAAATATTTCAAATTATCTATTAATATAATAATAATATACTCTGACTTTTTAAATTTTCTCTTGCCGATTTTAACGCTTCGCGTCCCAAATTAATGAAAAATGAAAATAGTAAGTAACGCCTTCATCTCTATCATTCCGAATGGCTCGGACATTGATTTCCCTAACTCAGCTCTCTATAGCGGTGACAAACCTGGCTTTTCTCATGAGCAGGAGAGATTCGGAATGCCCTACAGAAATGCACTGATTTCTAAGATGTGTGTCCTCCCTTAAACTTAAGTTACTGGCATATGTACCTGAGGCGACGTGCATATACCTTTCACGCATCTCGCAGGTTAAAATGCATTGAGGCGATTATCCTTGGAGAGATAAGTCACTTCAGTGTGTGTCGTCAAACTATGTTGAAAATTACTGTTTCGAGCTGTATACAAACTACCAGATGAATAAAAGATTCTGGGGGCGGATTTAAGAAACGGCTTGAACGCGGATCTTCGGGCTTTTGCAAATTCGAAAATGCTTATTTCCGAAAGGAAATGCTTGACACTTTCTTAGTAATATTAATATTCGATCTTTCAGCGAAAAAATTTTTGGGGACCATTCTTGCTTGTGAGAAAAATTCCGCTTAAATTCGCCCACATGTGTGTATATATATAGGATCTTTCTTAATTTTGTACCACGAAACTTAGTATACTAAGCGGTGATGTTTACCTTCGACTATACTTGTGATTGCCTGGTGGGAACTCGTCATTTAGAGATTACTTCGCGCATGAAATATCGCTTGCGGTAAAATAAACACAGCCTCATTAATTGAAGGATTCGGGGAAAGAAGTATTAAAATATATATATATATATGTATATGTATATATGTTTTAGAACTTTCTCTCTCACATACACACGTTCTTTCACTCTTTCTTTTTCTTTCTCTTTCTTTCTCTCTCAATATGACGGTATGTTATGTCATACCTCGCGAATATACAGTGTCTGAATCCTGATATATTTTACATACCGTTTACAATCATGTACGCTAAGGGTTTCTCGAAACTTGGAAGCATAACGTCAGAATTGTACAATTATGATTACGACGCAACTGTTGCACGATGAGAAATTACGGAACCTCATTTATAAAATACTTTCAGTGTCCATTGCTGCCACGACAAGTTAGAAAGGAGAATTGTAAACTTTTCCTTTTTTTTTTTTTTTACACATTTGGACATGAAAAGTGTCATATCATCTAATCTCCCCATAAGTCACAACACGACCGCATCATATTATCGTGATTCGACGGCGTAACGTAACGTGCCAAGTCTTCATAATTGAAAATTTCAACAAGATAGACAAGCTTCACCGCTGCAAGTATACTTCGCAGCGCATTAGGTATACGCAGAAAAGCTAATTATCTAATGAAGAGATAATTTTTTTAAATATATATTTTCTTTTTCTCAAGCATATTAATCCTCTCATTCCTATAGTATTTCAAAATTTTGTCGAAAGTTTATCCGAATATTTCGTTTTACTACATTAAGCAGTTATAATAGTAGTACTAAAAAAAGCTCAATTAAAAAAAATTCCTTTGAAATTATTTTACAAATTCTTGATCCATTGCAGTATACAGTCACGATGAGTATTGAACGAGTGCTGCGTATTCTTAAAAGCTGATCTTTTTAGAATTCAACTTATAATAAGAATTTAAATGATTCATTAATTCATAGCTTCATATAGTCAAACTAGGAATGAGAGAATCGACAGAAAGAAACAAGAAATTAGGAGGAAGAAAAGTGCCAGTGTAATAACTAACTTTGGATGCCTCTAAAAACTACATACATCTTGGCATTCGCCGAACGTGTGTCTAACATCCTATTCTATCTGGAGATATACCGGGAGAAAGGGAGGGGGCAGATTTCGATGCTCGTCTCTCACGTATCAGAATGATAAAGCGCGTTATCGTAACCACCCTTCAATCAGGATTTTTCCTCTAAGGAGACGTGTGTGACGGAGGGACCTAAAATTTGTATTGGGTCCCCCCAGGCCCGTCTCATTCAGCTGGGGTGCTCGCCGCCCATCTGTCGAACTCGATTCCCGAATCAGGACTGAGACCCAGATCGATGGGACTCAGGAAGCTGGGCGCCGGACAGTTGCAGGGCCCGTCGGGCCGGCACGCCCCGATACATCTCTGATCATTGTTCTTATTTTTTTGCCGATCCCCCCCTCGATCCCTCAATTCCCTCTCGAAGCTGTGCAACTGTTCCATAAAGTGAAAATTCGGTGCGACATTGGACTTTCTACTACGTACTAGGTTGAAAGCGTCGTTCAGGCTGAGGCTGCACTTGTGCATGAGATAAGCCACGGTGATCGTGACAGATCGCGATACTCCGGCCAAACAATGAACCAGCACTCCCTTGTCTGAGCTCCGTGCTTCTTCTGAAAAATATGCGATAGGTCGCGATTTTAATCCCACAATCATCAATTCGATCGATTACCGCGAATTTAACACTTGTTTTTTTTTAATAATACAAAATTATTGAATATGCGAGACGTAAGCTTATTTTAAAATAGTTTTCTGAAGTTTACATAATGCAAAGCGATCTCTCGAATAAACTGACAGAAAGATCGAAATACGATAGATTTGTTGAAACATTGAGATATAACGTTGTTCTCTTTGATAGCTATTATTTATTTAACATTACATATGTGAGATATAAAATTAATTATTAACTAAATACTATCAGCTCTATATGTTATATTTCTATATTTAATTAATTTGAAAATTGCAATAAAAATATGCCAAAGGAGACAATGCATGTCACGATAATTTTGTGTAAATGACGATAACAAAGGATAGCCGGATTGCCAACACTGACGTGTGTCGGGACAGTCAAAAGTACCAGACTGGCTCAATAGCAATGCCAAGCCTCGCCATTCAGACTTAAGTATAGCTCTCGGTCTAACCGGACATCCGTTGTTTAATTGTCTAGCACGGCTTGCCCGCCACGTGGGAAAGTTTCTATTTAGGCGAACCTATTTATAAGAATGCCCCTTTCAGAAGCTGCGCGCGCGGGGACTTTCTTAAACAGGAAATCCTGTTTAAGAAGCGCGGTCCGAACTAAGAATTTTTGACGCAGAAAAAGCTCGCATTTCTTATATACATGCAATAAGATGATGCCATATATGAATTGTGTTGCAAAGCAAAAATAATATGAAGGAAAACCTTTTCTCTTATTAATATAGGACGTGTGAAAAAGATTACGTGCATTTCAGTTACATATCGATCATCGATATATTCGTGTAATTATTGTGTATAACTCTTTCGTATATAAATTCTTTTCATATTGTATATTCA